CGGAGTTTACTATCGACACGAGCAACGGTGCTGGCACTGTCAGTGTTGGCGTTCAGCTATGAACTCCCATCTCCACGGAAGAACTCTATTACCGCTAATTACAAGTCACTGATTTTTGTTTTGCACATTCATAAAATGTATTATGGTCACCTGCAAACTACAAGCCTCTGTAGAGCATGTCTCAATTTTTGGCGGTTAACCAAACCTGTACGTGTCTCGTGGCTGGATTTCTACTTTTTGCTCACAATAACAAAGCTATTTGGCTCAATATGGAGCTGAGACCATCTCCGCAAACATCCAAGCACCCACGTGATGCGGAGACGATTCTAATACCTGGAGTTTTTAGAAAGGATGTTAAACATGATATTTCAGAGTTTTTTTTATCTTACATAAGTAAGAATGAGGTGCATATATCGCGTGATAGAGGCGACGCCAGCACGTGCCTCTCCCTCAACATTTTACTGCTACGTTACGCGTCGTAACTTACGACCTTATCGGGCCGAGGCTATATTTTCACTAATTATTTTATATACATGTTTAACACAGCAATTGTTTGTACTAAATACTTATGAAAGTTATCAAAATCAATAAAAATATACAGAATATCTAACTATTGTATTATTAGTACCTAAACATACATGGGAGGAGTGATACTTCTGAAATATTTATGGCATTGCCTCTGAGTATATCAAAGGCGAAGTGCGCCATCATGGCAAGATTGCTACTTGCCAGATACCTCGTCGATGACATACAGAGCGCCAAAATGCTCGAGAGCTTGAGCTCATTCCAATAATACCAGGTTCAAAGTGTTCTTACGGATTTTCTGTGTCTACAAAGAGGTTTTTTTTACTACTACTTTGTAATCTACAACGGCAACATGGATATAATCTGATAAATAACGGGTAACACTGAGGTCGTTCCACTAGAGTATATCTAGGCCAATGGATCTTGATCCTTTTTCTGACAACTCTTATTAGTTACTCCAGGAACTAAAGTAGCATAATTGTCAATACCTAAATGATAAATATTGTGATACAATACAGGAGATGAAAGCGCTCCGTATTCATTTATTTTTAGCAACGCTTCTTATAACACAGCCACGCGTTCG